CCCCCCCCCTGCACCTTCCTCTCCGGCGCCCCCCCCCTCTCTTCCTGCACCCTCCCCCTTCCCCTGCAATCTCCTCTCCGCACCCCCCCCTCTTCCTGCACCCCCCCCCGCCTCTGCACCTTCTCTTTCCCCAAGCTCCCCCCCCCTGCACTGCGCCCTGGACAGGAGAGAAAGGGGGGGGGAGGGGAAAGGAGAAAGGGAGGGGGGGCAGGAGAGAGGGGGAGGGGGGGGGGACAGGAGAGAGGAAGGGGAAGGGGGGGGACAGGAGAAGGAGGGGGGGTGAGAGGGGGGGGGGGGGGACAGGAGAGAGGGGGGGGAGGGGGGACAGGAGAGAAGGGGGGGGGAAAAGGAGAGAGGGGTGGGGGGACAGGAGAGAGGGGGGGGGGAAAGGAGAGAGGGGTGGGGGGGACAGGAGAGAGGGGGGGGAGGGGGCAGGAGGGGGGGGGACAGAAGAGAGGAGGGGGGTTGGGGGGGGGCCGGGATCATCACCATCTCCATCACCATCACCATCACCATCACCATCATCATCATCATCATCATCATCATCATCATCATCATCATCATCATCATCATCATCATCATCATCATCATCATCATCATCATCATCATCAGCATCATCATCATCATCATCATCATCATCATCATCAACATCATCATCATCCCATCACCATCATCATCATCATCATCATCAGCATCAGCATCCATCATCCATCATCATCATCATCATCATCATCATCATCATCATCATCATCATCATCATCATCATCATCATCATCATCATCATCATCATCATCATCATCATCATCATCCGGAGCGCCCAGGATCGGCGGCTCTGGTCGGAGGCCACTACAATCACAGATCTCCCGAGGCTTCCCGCGTGCCTCCCGGGGCGCGTCGAGGCTTCCCGCGTGCCTCCCGGGGCGCGTCGCGGCTCCTCGCGTGACCTTGTCGGCCCCAAGGGGGGCCCAAGACGGGCCAAGAGGGCCCCAAGAGGCCCCAAGAGGCCCCAAGAGGCCCCAAGAGGGCCCCAAGAGGGCCCCAAGAGGCCCCAAGGGGGCCCAAGACGCCCCAAGAGGCCCCCAAGACCGTCTCCAAGAGGGCTCTGAATCGACGAACAATCGATCCAAGACGCCAAAGACGACCTGCAGTCGGCCGAAAAAGCGCCCACGACTGCCCAATTGGCCTCCAAGAGCATGCCCAAGAGGGCCCAGAGGCCAAAACCATGGATTTTCCTGAGGTTGTTCCATATTTTGGGGATTCTCAACTTTTCGACCTTCCGACGCTGTCCCCCAAGAGGCTCCACAGCCCCAAGAGGCCTCCAAGAGGCCCCAAAGAGGCCCCCACGAGCCCCCAAGAGGCCCCCAAGAGGCCCAAAAGAAGGCCCAACGGGCCCCAAAACAGCACCCTAGAGGCCTCAGAACTGCCTCCAGGAGGCCTCCGAGAGACCGCCTACGAGATTCCAACGAAAATCCAAGAGGCCTCTCACCCACAACAAAGGCACGGTGCCGAGGTGGTCCGAAGGCCAGTGGATAATAGCAACAGCAACAACAACAACAACAACAACAACAACAACAACAAGTAATAAAAACAAACACACATCAACCATATTAATGAATATTACTGATACCCACTGATACCAATACTAAGAATAACAATAACAATAGCAACAACCATAAGAATAACACATCAGAATATGAATAATAGCATGAATACAAATAAATACCAAAAAACATAACTCAAATAATAAAAAGAACATGATGGTAACAATAACAACAACAGCAACAATAACAACTAAGAACGATAACACAAACAATGATAGAAATACGAAAAGCAATTACTACTCCTACTCATCCTCGTCATCCTCCTTCCTCCTCCTCCCTCCCTCCTCCCCCTCCTCCTCCCCGTCCTCCTCCTCCTCCTCATCATCATCAGCAGCATCAGCATCATCATCAGCATCAGCATCATCATCATCAGTATCAGCAGCAGCATCATCATCAGCATCATCATCAGCAGCATCAGCATTAGCATCATCACCATCAGCATCATCATCATCATCATCATCATCATCATCATCATCATCTTCATATTCATTTTCACACTCATCATCAGCATCATCATCAGCAGCAGCATCTTTGTCATCATCATCATCATCATCATCATCATCATCATCATCGTCAGCAGCAGCAGCATCAGCATCAGCATCATCAGCAGCAGCATCAGAATCAGCATCATCAGCAGCAGCATCAGCATCAGCATCAGCATCATCAGCAGCACCATCATCATCATCGTCATCCCTCTACACATCAATATCAGCAGCATGTATCATCACCATCATCATGATCATCATCATCCTCAGCATTATCATCAGCAATATCATCCTCAACATAATCACAATCAGAATCATCATAGTCATTATCAGCATCATCCTCATCGATATCATCATCAGCATGATCGCCATCATCAGCAGCATCATCATCAGCGTCATCAGCATCATCACCACCATCGTCATCAGCTTCACCATCATCATCACCATCATCATCATGATTATCAACAACTCTATAATCAACATCATCTCCAACATCAGCATCACTAGCATAACCATTAGCATCATCAGCAACATCAGCAGCATCACCAGCATCATGATCGGCATCAGCATCATCACCATGTCGTCATCACCATCATCACCATCATCATCATCAACAGCACCATAATCATCAGCATCATCAGCAGCATCATCATCAGTATCAGCCTCAATATCATGATCATCATCATCATCAGCATCATCATCACCATCATCAACATCAGCATCACCATCGTCAGTATCATCGGCAGCATAGTCATCATCAGCACCGGTCGGAATCTTCATCATCATCATCATCATCATCATCATCATCGTCATCGTCATCATCATCATCAACATCAGCAACATCAGCAACATCATCACTCTCGGCATCGTCGCCATCACCGTGATCAGCATCCCCCTACGCGTCACCTTCAGCATGATCATCATCATCATCAGCATCATCAGCAGCAGAATCATCATCAGCAGCATCAGCATCAGCAGTCTCAACACCACCACCATCAGCAACAATAGCACCCTCATCCTCGTCATCAGCATCATCATCAACAGCATCAGCATCAGCATCAGCATTGCCGTCACCATAATCATCATGATCACCATCATCAGCAGCATCATCATCAGCAGCATCGTCACCATCACGACCACCATCATCAGCATCATCATGATCAGAATCATCCTAATCATCATGAATAGTAACAACATCATAATAATCGGTATCATCACAAACATCGGCATCAACTTTATCATCAGCAACATGATCAGCATCACTCATACCATCATCCGCGGCATCATCATAATCATCACCACCACCATCATCATCATCGTCGTCATCAGAATCGTCATCGTGATCATCATCATCATTGTCATCCGCATCAGCAGTAACATCAGCATCATCCGAATAGTCATCATCAGCATCACCACCCCCACCATCGCCAACACCACCACCACCATCATCGTCATGATCATCATCATCCACATCAGTATCAGCAGCAGCAGCAGAATCACCACCGCCACCACCACAACCATCACCACCACCACCACCACCATCATCAACAGCAGCATCGCCATCATCATCATCATCATCAGCATCATCATCATCACCATCACAACCACCCCCGCCGCCGATCGTGATCATAGTCATAATCATCATCATCAGCAGCAGCATCGTCATCCTGATCATCATCAGCATCAGCATCATCGGCACCATCATCATCAGATCATGGCCACGATGATCATCATCACCACCACCATCATCATCATCATAGTCATCCGCAACATCATCATCATCAGCATGACCCTGACTACTCTCTTTCCAGACCACTGCTTGCGGTGAACAGGTGAGCATCTCCAAACCAATTCTGCCCCAGCTTTTTGGGGGTGGGCGGGTTCTGGGTGAACCAAAAAGACTGCAGAGCGGAAAACGGATGACGAGGTCAGGTCATTCCCGCGGGGCACAAACATGACCCTGACTACTCTCTTTCCAGACCACTGCTTGCAGTGAACAGGTGAGCATCTTCAAACCAATTCTGCCCATATACAGGACCCCCGCATACAGCACTGGAGTGGCGAATTTATTCGACGAAGTATTACAAGTTAGGCATTGCAGCAGGAAAACCCCCCCCGAGGCCCCAAGATTAGAAGGGGAAGGACAAGGAGGGAGGAAGAGAAGAGAAGGCTGACCACAGTTCGTGCACATGCAAGAGGCTGAGGGACGAGGCGATAGCCTTGGCTAGCACGAGGCACAGTTTCTCGGGGTAAACCTGCTTCTGGCGCGTCAAGAATCCCTCTCGTCCCGTGGGCCCGCCCAACTGATAATGTGGTTTTCCCGAAAAGCTGCAAATGCCACGGCCCTTACATTTTGCACCTTCCAGAGCCGAACACTTAACGTTGAACAGGTTGAGACGAGTACGAGCTCTCCAAGGCGTGCCGAACGCGCAATAATCAACAATACATGTCGTGCACTCGGGACGTCTCATCATGGCCGGCCGACGGTGGCCAAGCCACAAGTAGCTCTGGGAGGGGTTCTCCTCCCCACACGGCAGGCCTCGCTGGATACACGCTTCTAGCAGCACGCCGGACCGATGAGCCAGCACGTTACCTTCGGCAACTGTCCGCTGATCACGCACATCCAGATTGGGAAGACCTGCAGGGTATTCAGGACTGCGCAGCCTATGAGGGAGTCGTGACCACTGTGGCGCCCGGCGGGCCATCGTGAACGATTGACATGGGGTACCTGACCACATTCCCACGACCAGCCCTGGTCGAATCCATCCAAGAAGGGTGTTGAACGCATTATCATTCAGCAGGTCGTGGGACGGCCCGTGGCAGATGTCGATGCAAACGACGGCGATATTCCGGCCCGCCAAAGCAGCCGCCAGCCCTCCTGCCCCCGAGAACAGGTCTAGAAAGATCCTCGGACCGAGGGGCTGCGGCTGCGCAAGAGCTCGGCGCAGCGCTCGGCGAAGGGCGCGAGGCCGCGGTCCACCAGCGCGGCGATCTGACCCCTCACCGTCGCGGGGAGCTTGCCGAGCTGCAAGGACACCCGCGCGTGCTTGTCGTAGCGAGCGACGCTCCGAAAACTGCGCCAGTGCCCCCTCTGCTGCACCTCGAGGAGCGACCGCGCTCGAACGAGACGATCGTGGCTGGCGCCCCCGTGCCGCAGCGCGTAGAGGCTCGGCTCGACGCAAGAGACCTGCGCCTGCTGCACGGCCAGCGCGAAGGACCGGTACAACAGCCTCGGGCTGACGTCGAAGAGGCGCTCCCCGCGGGCGCGCCCCGTCTTCAGCGCCTGCAGCAGCGGGATGAGCGGGCGGTGGCGGTCCAAGTCGAGGAGCACGCTCAGGTCGAACTCCTGGGTCTTGGACGGCCGTCCCAGCTCCTCCACGCGAACGCAGAAGCCCCAGAACGCGCCTTGGCCGCGCGACGTCGTGGGCGGCACCAGCTGCCCCACCGTCAGGCTGAGGAGCTCCGAGGGGCGCATGTAGGTCTCGAACATGACGATGATGGCAAGGGCGCCCACCGGGCACTCGGGCAGCATTGCCCACGCCAAGGCCAGCACGACACCCCAGGGCAGCGGCGGGCGGCTGTGCCCCGGATCCAGCTGGCGCCAGCCCAGCATGGCCGCATGCGCGTCGGGGAAGACCTGGCGCAGCGGGCCGCCCAACGTAGGCTGGGCCCACACCACGGCGGCCAGCAGCCGAGAGGCCAGCGCCCGCGACCACCCCTCGCCCCGCGCCCACTCCACGAAGTTGAGGAGCTGGAGGTCCCACTGCGGGCCCGACCAAGCGGGCAGCGGCCACTGATTCAGGTAGCCAGCCAGCTGCTCCAGCACGTCGCAGTAGCCCGCCTGCGTCGCCGGGCGGATCCGCTCCTGCTGGAGGCCGGTCAGCAGCGGGGCCAGCAGCAGCAGCCGCGCCCGCGTCGCCGCCCGGAGGCGCTCCAGGCGGCCCGAGCCCTGGCGGCCCCCAGGGCCAGAGGGGGTTGAGCGGGCAACCCGCCGTGCGCCACCAGGACGGATGGGCAGGCAAGCCCCAGGGGCGCTCGGCCCAGCGCGACCGCTGCTCGCGCGGCCGCGGCCCGTCAGCGCGCCGACAGAACGGGTGCTGGAGCAGCCCGGGCCCGCATCGACCACGTCGTCGGAGTCGGACAGGACCGCAAGCACCAACTGCGCTGGAGGCAGGCAGGCGGTGCTGGACATGGACTGCCACTTTCGCTTGGCCCCCATGCCGAGGCTGGTGAACTCGGCTCGCAGCGTCCAGGGCGTTGAGCTCCGAAGGGGCCCATCGGTCGTGAAGCTTGAGCCCGACGGCGAGAGCAAGGGCGGACGAAAGCCGGCACTGAAAGTTCATGGCCGGAGTCGACGACCTGCCCTTCGCGTGAGCACAAATCACCGAAATGTTATCGCCCAGAAGCAGCACACAGGGTGTTATGGAGGCTACAATCTTGAGCAACATGTCGCACCGTCCAGGTCCTGGCCCGGGCCTCGAGATGGACCTGGGACCCCGGGACACCCCTCCAGCGGCCCGCGTAGGCCGCAGTCCAGCTCCGCTCGACCAGGGCCGCCGGGACCTCAGCGAACGAGCGGGCCCGCCCGAGCCCCAGGATGTTGGCCTCCGAAGCCTCCGAGATCTCCAGCTCCTCCTGGTGGTCCAGAGCCCGGGACCGCGGCGCCTCCGAGCTACTGAGAAGACCCCGAAAGCGTGCTCGCTCACGAACACGGCCCACAGCGGCGACCTCACTAGTCTCCCAGCGCGTCGATCCAACTCCAAATCCCCAGCACGACGCGTCGTAGCCGAAGACTCGACTCGACCACGGGCGACGCATCGAGGCACGAGCCAAGGGCAGAAGAGCACGTATCCACCGAACTTCGCGATGAACAGATGGCCAGAGGGGCTGACGGCGAGTGTAACTCTCGTGGATGAACACATAGACCTTTTCCATGAGGCACAAGAGCTCCGGGGAAAGCGAAAACAGAGCCGCGACGTGGCCCACGAAACGCTCCAGCTCCTGCCCTGCGATAGCAGGTCGAACCTCCAGAAGATAGTCGGCAGCCAGTTTCAACCTCCAGAACCGATTAGCTTTAGGACGCCACTCCCCAGACGAGCCCACCAAAGTGAAACCTATGAAGTCATTGCCCCCCGCCTCTGAGGTCTCCAAGGTCGACGCGATCCCAAGGCCCGCGAGCTGAGACTGCATACTCTCGACGTCCGAGGTGGCAACCGACTTAGACTGGGCAATGGAAACGAAGTTGTCGATATAGAGTCCGCGGAGCGACCCAACATCGCCAAGAGGCGGGAGCGGTACCTTATCTAGGAGCCACGGGGCCTCGGGGGAAACTTTATTGAGCTGATACTGATTGGCGGCCTGTACACGAGCCACGGCCCAATTCCAACCCATCGGCACCACACGAGCCCGCACGCGGGCCCAGCCCCGATTTCGAGCCGCATCCGGGAGCGCGGCGACGAGGTTCGGGGACAGGTGCGCAATAGGAAGTGAGGGCAGGCCGAAAAACACCTGTACTGATCAGGAAGTGTGAACTGGTAATAGCAGACTTCGACATCGCCCCCGTGCAGCACGGGGATCACATGAGGCTCGCATTCAAGATGGGCGAGAGCCTCACCAGAGGGCAATACCACACCAGGAGGCTCGCGGGACCGAAGGTTAGGCACACGAGTGTCCCAGATCAGGCGAAGAGCACCTGACTTTTTCGAACGAAAAACAAACCACTTTCTTCGAGTACATCATCGCTGACTTCCACAACGCCAGCGGCCCAGAGCTCAGAAACGAACTCTCCAAAAAGTTCGGGGTTATCCCGAAGGACGGGATCATGGAAGAGGCTGCCATCGTAACTGTCACGGCGAGCGGCAGCCTCCTCCTCAGAAAGTAGGATTGACCGATCTTCAAGCGCAGACTGCAGGGCGGGCGGCAGGCACTCACTCAGCGCAACTCGCCCAGAGAGCCCCGCGGGAAGCGACGCGTTCCCTCGCTCGAAGTTCGCCCGAGCACCGACGGCCATCGCGTCATCCGCGTAGCCGGGCCGCGTACCCTGGAGCGCCTCCCACGCTCCCAGGGCGCTCCCGCAGTCAGGCGGGGGAGCGACGACTGATCCGCACTGCCGAGCAAGGCGTCGAACGGCCGAGACCTGAGCCGAAGTCAAGGGCGAGGGCGAAGCCGCCAGCGGCTCCGGGGCGCCCAGCTCGTTCAAGGCGCGGATGCCCTCGAAAAGCCAGCCCTCCTGAGCACGTCGACGTCGAAGCCGCCGCCGCTGGCTCTGGGACAAGCCCAGCCCGCTGACACCCCCAGCACAGATCTCCGAGGCGGCCGCCAGGGAGATCGGCAGAACGTCGCGCTGCCTCATCTGCTGCGAAGCTGAAAGCGCCTCAGGGTGGCACCACCTGCCAGCCCTGAACCCCTCACGAAAGCCTTCGAGGAGGCGGGGCAGACCCCCCCGTGGCGGCACAAATCAGATGGAAGCAGGCCCTCAGGCCTTCTCCTTGGGACCTTTGGGCTTCTTCTTTGGATCAGCCGACGTCGGTCCCGTACCTTCTCTTTTGGCCAGCGCGGCCTCCTCACGCGCCTTGCGGCGCTCCTTCAGCACGGCGGCGCGGGCCGCCAGCTCCTTCGCCACGTAGTCCTCCAGCTCAGGCAAGACGATGGCGCTGCTCCTCAGATTCTTCACGCCGAGGAACAGCGAGCGCTCGCTCAGCCAGTCGTCGCCGCCCGAGCCGCCCGAGTCCACCTCTCGCAGCAGATCCTTGTAGGCGCTCTCCCACATCTGATAACGCCGGCTCAGGAGCTCGAACGTCGCCAAGTTGCAGACCTGCATCTGATCGATCGTCATGCCGACCTCTAGGAGCTGGGACAACAGCAAGTGCTCGTCCACGCCGACGTCCGTCGCCGACAGCCCCATCACCGAGCGCCACCAGTAGTGCCGTTGCACCGGGCTGTGGTTGCCTTCGTAGATCCGCTCCGCCGTGTAGTACGTCGAGCGCGGACCCTCGATCTCCCAGCTCTTGCCGAAGTCAGCGGGCTTCATATCCTGCAGCGCGCTCGCGAAGGATCGGCGATAGCGCGCGCTGCTGTGCGTCCTGCCTGGCAGGCAGGATGCGGGAGTCGTCTTCGCTCCCTGCAGCGGGGCCCGATGGCAGCGTGCCCTCGAGCCCTCCGCTCAGAACTGTGCCGTCCGTCAGCTTGAAGATACAACGATCGTTAGACTCGAACTCGACTGACCCCAGCGAGGCGGTGAGGGCATCACCAAGCCCCACACTGCCCCGAGCCTCCAGCGCGCACCACTTCGCGGCGGGCCCGGCACCCGCGCCCGCCGCGATCGGCACAGCCGCAGGGACCACAGCCCCGCCGGGACGCAAGCCCCGCGCGAGAGCCTCTCCCGTGTCCATGTAGTACTGCCTGTCCTGGCCGAAGCGGTAGTGGTCGACCAGGTAGTGAGGGAGCACGCGCACTGTCGCGGGCGCCTGCCCGTTGGCCAGGAATCGCTTCAGGTCGTCGGCCTCGCCGAAGTCCCCCTCGAAGATGTCCCAGTCCCGAGAGACGACGACCCACTTGGCGTCGCTGCTGTGTCCTAGCAAGATCCGCTCATGCCATTCCACCGCCGCCCCGCCCGCGTCCTGATAGTAGCAGACGAGGACCCGATCGCCGGGCTTGGCCGACCCCTGGAGCCATGCTAGCGTCGCCATCTTCCTCGATGATGGACACGAGCGTGTCGTTCACAACCGGCGACGGGCTCGAGCTGCGGCGTCCGAAGCTGCAGCCGATCAGCAGGCCAAGCGTGAAGGCGATGACCGAGAAGATCGCCAGCAGCCCGAGCAAGGCCGTGAGTCCGATCCCCGAGGCGGCCTCCGAGTGGCAGTGACAGTCGCACTGGCAGACGCACTGGTTCGAGCGACCGACCAGCTCCGCCAG